AACAGGGTTAATTGTAATTGCAAATACAGCCTCTCAAAAGCTTATGTACAAACAGGACAAGTGTTATCTGTTGGCACCCAGATAATGGAGAAGAAAAACCAGGGAAAGCCTCACAGAAGGCTATGACATCACTGGCAGCCAATAGGAAATGGTGCACATTCCCAGCAGCCAGGCAAGGGGATTGTTCCCAGATGTTGCAAATCCTTCCTAAAAAACACAGATAACAGCCAAGGCAGCTGCTGGCACAGCCCTCCCTCCTGGCTCTGACCTGGCAGCACCCACCAGCCAGTTCTTTCCACGTTCCCAGTCCCTGGACCGTGCAAAGAGAACAGAAAAATATTTTAAGCTCTTGCAAAAAAATGCCTGAAGGTAAAAATATTGTATCTCTGCCACGCAAAAACAAAACTGAAGCAATAATTTCATTCATGTAAGCAGCCCCCAAGAACTCAAAATAAACGATTCCCAGGGACAAATTGTATTCTGTGTTTTGTGTGTGTAGCAGAACAGGGAATGTATCAGCTATTTTTGGCAGAAGCTGCATTTACAGTAAAAACAAGGCAATGAAGAATTCTGACATACAACTCGTGGTAGTCTCTATATTGCTGAAAACCTAAAGGTCAACCACTGAAAAGGGATCTAGTAAGCAGTACCCCTCTGTCCCAAATTATTTAGTGCTTAAAACAACCAAAAAACCTCACTAAATAAACAAAACCACACACACATGCACCAGAAAAAAAAACAACCAACAACCCAATCCACTCTGAAATCAAAAGAAGATCTAAGATGCAGAGGAGAAAAACAAGCAGGACACAGGAGGGATGGGGAGGAAGTTTAAATAGCTAATTAGCAGCAGTGATTCTAATTCAAACCTAATTTAGCTGTACATTGAGTTCTCAGGGCAGCAAAAGTAAGCAACAGCTAAAGACTTGCAGATCCTCCCTTGAACATCTTCCCCTATGGAAATCAAGTCCTGCAGATGACACCAAGATCAAAGTTCCCACCTCTGACAAATAGAAGGATTCAAATGTTATTAAAAAAGATGAAAATCTCAAATTTCTAAATGTCACTCATCTTGTAAAACTTCAAAGTGGCCACTGGATCAGTCGGGAGGGGGGTTGTGGGGGCAGAGACAGTTCAGCTCTGTCGTGTGTGCGTTTAATTTCCCAATTTTCAATGCGTTGTGTGGGCCTGAACTCCACACACAGTCATTTACAGTGAGGGCCACAATTATCACAGATGGTTTTGTGAAAGAATCCCAAGCTGTCTGCTACCAGCTGACACACATTTTATAGCGCTGGAGACAAAGAAAGCTCAGGTCCAGCACATTAAAACCCAGAGAAGGAAACAGCCCAGCCCAAAACACATTTGTTTTTTTTTTTTTTCCAAAAGGTAAAGACCAACTTTGCTATCCCTGAAAGATTTGTATGCAATTATCTGGTAAGTTCCAGTGAATAGGATATTAAAGAATTCGAAACTGTGAACAATTAACTTACAGCAAGATTTACATAAAACTCCTCCAGTAATTAGCAGCAAATAGAGGCAGATAAGCCCGGCAATTTTATGGGTGTTAGTGTGGAAAAAGTAATTTGCAATTCATAATGCAGGTCAGACACAGATGTTTCAGCTGATTGCTGAGCCAGTGAACAGAAGCCCTTGTCAACATCATCTGCAAAAAAAGCACCCTGTGTGATCTCTGAGAGCTCCAAACCCAAGCCAAACCAGGGGGAAGAGCAGAGAAATTTGGAAAGGGGCTGCTGGGAGGGAAGAGCCCACATTTTGAAGCGATGGATCTCTCCCTGCTGCCTCCAAGCCGTGTGTCTGCCTCAGCTGAATTAAATGGGTTTATAAAGCATTATGTCATTTGCTGCTGAGAGCAGAGCCTGCAAACCCCACGTTGCTGCAGCGCACACAAAAGGCTCCACGGTGCTAATTCTCTGAAATAATCAATTTAAGCCACACATCTAAATTTTGCCCTGAGATCTTTGCAATAGCACCCTTCTCTGATACAGGCCTGGCTGCTGGCTCAGACTGATCCTCGTGGGTTAAAGTTCCAGGGCTGGCCAGCAACCTACACTGGAACAGGAATAGCAGTGAATCAAGTTAATTCTTTAAATTCTTAACATTAATTCTTAAAATTTCACAGATCGTAATGTTTCTCTGAAATGAAAATAATAACAGCCCCAGAATTAAAACACAATGTTGAACTTGTGTGTGTGTACATATACAGAGTCTTGTTCTGATCTTACTGTTCTTCACAGTCTCCTGTTTTTCAGCTGGAAAACAGAAAAGCCATATATTTTCATGTTATTTAAGGAGCTGGGAAAAGAATTCAGCTCTCAACCAGAGATAAAATACCCTTGGGGGTTTGGTTGGGAGAGGGAAGAGGTTAAAGAGGTTAATTTCTTATTTATGTGGAATAGTTTGGTGTTGGGGGACTGGTTTTGCTCCAACTCCAAGAATGTTGGCCCTTGTTGGAACAACCTGAGTCACATTTTGCTGCACAGAAGAGCCCAAATGGTGTCTGGGAGTCAGAATGAATCACTGGTGTGTTGAATCAACAATGCAAAGATAAATGTTTTAACCAGACCACACAGATAAAAACAAACACCACTGGACTGGGAAGAAGAGACCCAGGTCAGGGATGCAGAAGACAATCCAGATTATCAGCCTGTTGCCTGAATTAATATTTACCAGTTCAGCAGCGCGGGGGGAAAGGGGAAGAAACAGGGAAGGGAACGACACTGAGGAGCAAACACAGAGCAGGTTTTGCACACTAAGGAGGAGGAAAGGGGTCCTCAGGAGTAATTTGCTCTCCTGATAAGAGCTGCTGTTAATTTGCTTTTCCAACAGAAGCTGCTCTCACGCCACGGCCACAGCAGTGACATCCCCCCAGCCCACTGCACCCGAGGCTCTTGTTAATCACACATGAAGTCCCTTTTTGTCCCCTCCATTCCCATACTGTCAGAGCCCCACGCTATAGCCCTCAGTAATCCTTGGACTGAGCACAAAAACAGCACCACCAACACCCAGGGCTCAGGCGTGTCCTGAAAGATTCAGCAGATTCAGCAGCACCAAGCCCTTCAAACCAAATCCAGCCCTTCCAAGGGAACATCCCACACCAGAGGCCACCAGGATGGATGCTCAGGCACGGCCTGGAGGGGTTAACACCCCCCCTGGGCTCAGTTCCCACACCAGGATGGACACCAGCCAACCACCTCATTAGGGAAGAACTTTGTGCTGCCTCCAGATGGACCATCGGGTCTCAAAGACCAGGCTGTTTGTTTGTTTGTTGGTCTAAACATTAACTTGATTCCCTAATGCCAGTGATTTAATTCTTTTGACAACCAATTTGCTCCTCCAGGGAGCAGGACACATGGGGATCATCCTTTTTTGGTGAGGCAGATCCCTGTGGTGCTCGTTTCCTTCCCTGAGCACTGCCCAGCAGCACAGCTTTAGGTCAGCATAATTCTGCTTTAAAACACTCCCCCATTTCCAAACCAGGGCATTCCAGTGCCTAACACCCACTGCTGGGTGGAAATACAGTTCTTGGAACAGCTCTGGAAGTCACACTGGTTATTAGTCAACCTTTGCTGCTGAGGCAAAAGGTTGGGCCAAAAAACAGGTATGGAGGTCCCACAGAACATTAAAAAAAAAAAAAAATAGCTTTTCCTCCTGAATGCATTTCCCAGGGAGAAACAGGTCACTTTTCAGAGCACAGAATGAAGGAAGAACGCTCTCTCACTTTTTCAGACCTCAATTTAATACCAAATCTAACGAGTGCTTCACACTCCGTGCATGTGTGGGAGGACTGAGGTGACAAAGCCAGGGGTTCTGCCTGCCCACCACTGAGAACCTGTTGGGACTCCACAGCTGCCAGAATCTGAGTGCCCCAAAATGCAAAGCAATCACTAGGGCAGGAAGAAGGGCTAATATTTTATGCTCAGCTCACCCTCCAGCCCTTGCCCTCCCAAGAGGAGCATTTCCAGCTGCTCAGACCCCAGCAGGGGCTGTGCCTCCTGATCCCCAAGGCATCCTTGCCTGAGAACAATCTCCCAATCAAACTGATGTCTAAAGGATCCACTGCACTTCCCTCCCACAATAATGGAGTGCACACACACGCTCTGCTGCAGGAACCAGCGTGCAATCAATACTGTATTTGATTTTACACTGAAAGGACATGTAATCCTGTCTACAAGAAGCCAGGCTTAGAAACTTTAAGCTACCCAGCAGGATTGTATGCAAATTCCCTTATCCTGTCTTAATTTCAGTGACTGAAGTCTAAAATATTTCAGGCTACAGTCTAAAATACTAAAATATTTTCGGGGTCCAGGCTGTAAATGTGTGAGGAAGATCTTCAACTCCTAAAAATCAGTACAGGACTGGAGAAATAGATGGAGACAGAGCAGCTCATTTCAGCTGAGAATGCCAACAGCCCCAGCTGTGCAGCTGGAAAAAACTCTTGTAAACCTACTTTATTGCTACTACTTTCTTGTGTACCTTGATCCTACCAGAAATAGGAAGGCTGCAAACATATATCCAAACATTTCTCCAGTGCTGAAAGGCTGCCTCGTGTCTCCAGTTACTTCAGCAGAGTTCTCATACCATGGCACTATGTTTCCAACCCCTCTTGCATCACTTGTTGAAGCCAAGCTCTTAGTAAAAATACATTTCATACCCGAGACAAACTTGAGTTTTGGGGAAACAGGCAATTCTTCTCGTCCTCTGTCGTGTCTTGGGCTGTTTAGTGACAGGACTAAAACTGTTTTCGTGTATAAATCCCCTTTTCAGCCCTGCACACTTTGTGGACTTCACTCTCATTTTTAAAATAGATTACTTAACAACAGAATGTTATAGATATAATTAAAAACTAAGCTTTTGTTTTCACGTAATTGGAGACTCAAGACACTTCTAAAAACCAGGATCCAGGTACCAACTATGCTGCTCCTGTACACACTGTATCAAACCACACAGATTTATTACAGACACGTGAGCCAACATACCCAGGACACCACTCTTCCATTGAAGCAAGGGAGCTTTGCATTGTCGTCTGAGATCTCCTCCTTTACCACCCTGGGAAAAAAAAATAGGAAAAAAAATCAGGAGTTTGAAATTACAGGAGATTAGAAGTGATTTTCTCAAACAGTGCAGGAAAAATACAATTTTTTGTTAAGATGTTGGTATCTATGGTTAAAGAACTACTAGAACAGAGGAAGCAAATAAAAATATAGGGTTGAATAGGACCTTTCCATCCCAAACTGGTTGTCACAACAGCAATTTCAAGTATTTTCCCACTTTGGATCCTACCATTTCTCCACAGTCTTTAAAAGTCTGATGGTGACTAAAATCCCCCCGTGCTGTGCAGCCTCTGTGTCAGAGATCACAGTGGATTCACAGCAGAAAGAGATTTCTGGCCTGAAATCCCTGCACAGCAAAGCAGGGCCCATCTGCTTCTGACAGAAAAAAAGCCAACCCCAGGTCCAGTCAAACTCCATAAAAATGTGTGGATCCACAACCACATTTTCCTTTATTTATGTTTTTGTCTTACTTGTTGCTGTGTAAAGAAAAACCACAACTGGCCACAAAGCAACTGAAACATGGAAGGGGGAAAATGGTCAGGAAGGAGAAGAGAGCAGAGCAAATGGACAGTTTCCTTCCATCTCACTTTTGGAAAATTACAAATAAATAACTCCACCACTAATACCTGCATTTGCACATATTTTAAGAGGGAGTGAACACCACCTTTTTTCTCCACGCTTATTTGCATTGTTAATGCCTGGCAGTGCAATATTAGGCAGTTCTTCACCCCTTTCCTATTATTGGCAAGAAAAACATTTTCAAATATTCATTTAACTCCTAAAGCATCTGTCCTCCCTTCACCTTTTGGCAGCGGGACTCAGATCACATGGTTCCATTATTGGTTTTAGTCACTTGTACTTGGGCTCTGAGGAGACAATTAAGAGTAAACTCCACTGAAAGCAACAGATACTCAGGGCTTTCAAAACCTTTGACAATTCAATGAAGCTCTCAGACCTGTAATTCTGGAGCTGCAAACCCTGTGTGCAGACAGAGGATTTCAACACTTGCCTGGATCTCCAGCCCCAGTGGATGGACTCAAAATTCAGACATAATCTTTTGATTTTCATGGAGTCCTGCAGAGAACACTCGCTCAGCAGAGCCCCAACTGCTGAATCAGCAAGGAAAGACACTGCAATAATTTTATCTTGACAGCTGTAGGTTTTAAATGACAGTGTCTTTCTCCCCCCCTCCTCCCCCATAAGGAAATGACACTTATGGCACCCCAGGAATCACAGGGAGAATTTCTGCACCAAGCTCTAGGGTTTAGGCAAAAAGCAGGCATTAAAAGGCTTGGGGGACTCCAGCAGGAGCTCCCTGCAAGACTGCACTGACTGGTTCAGTTTGTCCTCGTGATGGAAAACGAGCTCCTGGACTCACCACTGGCAAACCAACGAGCTCCATCACAGCCCCAGCCTCTGCTGCAGCTGAAGGGAACAACTTCCAGATCTGTTGCAACTTGAACTACTAAATATAGCCTTGAGCTATGAGGCAAGAGAATGACAGACTGTAATTCCCAGCTTGCTTTGGGTAGCAATCAACAGTGCCAAGAACATCAAAGACAGCAGCAGCCACTTAATTTCGAATATCACTGTTTTACAAATCGTTATTTGTAGTGAAGAGGCAGCTCCTCTCAGTTCTCAGCGAGGAGGAGCAATGGAGAGGAGGCAAGGAAGGAACAGGAATGGTTGCAGCAAATGCTTCAGTCTGAGGCCAGCTTTGTGTTGAAGAAGATGCTGTTTGTCCATAAAAACTTGGGAGCCGGGGCAGAGGGAGACACGTGCCTTTGTCCTGTTTTGGAACACAGGGTCTGCTAGGAGCTGATATCCTGAATATCAGGGTGGATAAAGCCCTAAAGGATGGGTTCACAACCCAGAGCCAACCCAAGGCAGCTTGGCAAGGAAGAGGGGATGCATTTGGTCTGCCAGAGAGCTCCTGGGAGGCGAAGAAGTCTATTGGCACTGGATGTGGTGGAGATACATCCCCAGTGCTCTCAGTGTCATTGTTAACAGACTCACTGTCTGCTAACAAGACCAAAGACCATCTGATAGCAAGAAACACATCCCCTGCTCTCCCAGAGTGAAAGCTTCCCTTCAGAAAAGGAGATATTTGTTTCCCAGGTCACAGCCTGCTCCTGGCACCCTCTGTAATCACTGGCAAGGTTGGGACACACACACAGTCCCTCTTCCAGCACACTCAGCCGAGGTGAGGAGCCACTCTGGGTCAGGGAGAAGAGAGCAAATAAATAAACACCTGGCCACAAAGCCACTCACAAAGGCACTACTGAGTGGAAACCAAAAGGTGACACAACAAAACAGCCACTTCCAGCTCAGCTGGGTCACCAACCCCTCTGTGTTCCACCTCACACGGTTCTCCCTTGCAAAGGGGAGGGAGGGGAGACTCTGCCAGCACACCAACAATTTAAGAGATTTTTCTCCCATGCTCAGAGACTTACAGCACTTTCCTTTTCCCTGCACTCCAGGAAAAACCTCGATGCTCAAGATGTGAGATCCTTTAGTTCATCTTTCAAATGCATCTGCCAGGTAAAAGGGAGGTAAAAGAAGACCACGGGGGAACAGCTCACCCGAGGTCACTCAGAACATCACAGACAGGGCATGAAAAAGACCCCACACTCTTGAATCCCCCCCAGGCACCTGCCCTACATCACCAGCAAGCCCCCCACCACCACACCTCCCATCCCAGAGGATCTGCAGAAAAGGGTGTGGGTACGTGGGGAAGGGGAGGAGGGAGCAGTTCCAGGAGCTCACATCCTCTGCTTTATTTGCCTTAGAGGAGATTTAACAACTAATTGCTAAATGAAACAATCCCTGCTGGTAACAGCCCCTCCTTCCTCTGGCTTCCTGGAATTGTGTCTGGATCCTCTGGCTTTCCCACCACCCTGCTCTGCACAAAAAGGTGTTTTGTGCATTTCCCAAACCCAGCCCCGTTCATCCTCTCACCTGTTTCTGTGACAGGTTACACTCCTGCTCACCCCCCCCCAGTACCCTGACTCCTTGTTTTCCTCCAAAGAGCTGGGAAAACAAGGATTGTTTAGGCTCACCTTCCCTCTCCTCCCTCTGCCAAGCTGTTTGCCTCAGAATATCCACGGATTCCGCATTAACTGGGCTATGCAGGGATTCCAGGTGAGCCCCACAACCCCCTAATGACTGTGATTCACCAGCATTTGGGTAATTGCCTGTTAAACACCGGGTTTGATAGTGTTGCTCACACTTGCATTTTGATTGCATCATGCACGTCTGTGACAGGCTGCACCTCCACAACGAGCTGGAGGATTTTTCTTGGACAATGAGGCTTAACAAGAAAAATTTCCCTTTCCAGTTGCAGGCCCAAGACCACAGAGAGGGGGAAATGCAGGGTTGACACAGCAGGGTGGCCCTACAGATTCACTCCATGTTAAATGTCTGCCATGAGACAAAGCCAGCATCCTAAATTTACTTCAGCACCAGATTAATCCCATCTCATCACTGGGATCATAATCAAGTCTTTTCTTGACTCTGATTGTCCTTTACTGATGGGAGAAGGAGAGAGAAGCTTCATTCCTTACTAACTTGCTTGGAGATCCTTAGAGAGAAATCAAAGGAATGAAGTCCTTCAAGCATCTTCAATGACTCCTGGCACCTCAAAGGCAGGTAAGGGATTATTCAGGTGTTAGTTTGGATTCACAGAATCACGTTGGTTGGAAAAGAAATCCAGGGACCACCTGGCCCAAGCTCCTGCTCACAGCAGGTTTAGGTTGCTCAGGGCCACGTCCAGTCAAGTTTTGAGTATCTCCAAGGATGGACATAATTTGGGGCAACTCCTACTTATGAAGCAGCACTTTTCCAAAAATCTGTTTAAATTAGTAAAAACTGTAAGCAATCATAATTGGAATCCAAGGCTGCAGCTTTAAAACAGCCTTGCTGAAGCTGATTAATTTGAATCTTTTTAAAAAGCCCAAGGTTTTTTAGACACAGAGAGCCTTTAACCACCCTCCCAACACAGAGAAATAAAAGGAAATAAAGCTGAGTTTACAGGTGAGGCTTGGCTCGGATGTAATGTTTTCTTTCTGGAAAGAAGGAAGAAGAGAAATAAATGCCTTTGCTGAGCAGATGAACACCCTGGTGCAGTGCAGTGTGGAAGGGCTCTGCTCAGCACAAAGGAGCTGTGCTGCTCGAAAGCCTCAGATCTTGTCTGCACCCCACAGAGCTGGTGAGCAGGAGCTGTGTGGCAGCATTCCCCTTCCTCCTCCTGTGCCAATCACTCCTCAAAACACCACGGTGGAACCAGCATTCTCTCTTTTTAGGGCTGTTATGCCCAAACTACTCTGCCAGCGCTGTGCCTTTCCATATATGCACTGCTGTGTGCCAACTCCCACATAAACCTGTCAAAAATGTGTCTGAGTGTGCTACCCACAATTATGACAGAAATGACACACCCATATCTACAAAAATGACACAACTGTGGAACAAAACCCTCTTCAAACAGAGACACCCAGCTTCGGTGCACACCAGCTCCTTTTTACAGGTTCTGTAGAAATTTTTCAGCGAGAAACTGGGAAATTAGTGTTGGGGAAGTCACCTCTTCCCACCCAGGTGACAAACACATCAAAAACCACTTTTTTTTTTTTTCTTTATTTATATAATTAGCTCCTCCTCTCCGTCTCATGTTATTCTTAACCCTTGTAAAAAATCCAAACACGCAGCCCTGGCGATTCTGTCTACAATTAACAGTTAATGCTTTCATATATTTATAAACCACTTATCCCCTGCCACATCTGATCTTCACCACCACACCAAACACTTTTGCCCACATAACTGCCTCTTCCCTGGTTTTTTCCACTCCCACTTTACTCCTGCAGGCACATCCAGCACTTCTGCCTTCTGGAAGAGGAAGGGTAATTTATCACCTTTCAGGAGAACTGCAGGACACTGGAAAAGTTTTTGGTGCCTTGGCCCCAGACCAGGTACTGACCTAAGCCTTAAGCACGTGGATGAA